TAATTGTAATTTTGATGTGATCATGAAAGAAGGCAAAGACAGCATTTACCTACTCCACCATCTTGACCAGAAACTGGAAACACTCATCAAATTTAAAGTTTCAATTACAAATTGGAAAGAAAGTTTGTTTTCTCCTTAGAAAACCAAAGCGTTCATTGGTATTGCCATTGAGTTAGAATTTCTACTCCATTTTCCTTCACACAGATATGTGCTTTCCAACTTTCCACCTTTACTAATCTCAAGAGCATGCTTTAACCACATCAGTGACCTCATATGTATTGAATGCTATTTACATATTCTCCCTCAAAAAAAAAAAAAAAAAGCCATAGCTCATGATTCTATATATCTGCTGGGTAGTAAACTATTTTTAGGTGAAAGACCTCTATATTAATGTGGCCGATGTTACTATCTGTGTGAGCATGCTACCTCTAGTGCGCCTATTTAAATGTGGTGACCTATGTTTGATAAATTTGTTCAAATTAATAACATGTAACTATTGCTAGCAGAATGAAATGATTATCTTAAGCTGACTGGAGTGTTCAATCTATCTCAGTCAATTTGCAAAGAGACTACACCTCTTTGAGCTTTGGTTTGACAAGTCACAGGGTCAGAATACTCCATTACCTGTCTTTACTGGCTAGACGAAAGAGTTGTTTACATTGCTTTCTTTTACCTTATTCTCCTTTTTTTGTAAGTAGCTTTCATGGGGTGCTAATTGAGGAAACAAGAGAGGGAGAGTAAGGCTACAGAGGCTGCATTATTTCCCTTGCCCTTCCTAATTTTTATCATCTCTATCTTCTCTTATCAGTAGGCACTAAGGACACATTTGAACTTTGCTTAAATGAATACATCAAATGGAGTACAGTATAGAAACTGTGCCTGAATCTCATTCACCTTTGCATCCTCAGGACCTAACATAACCCTTGGCTACACAGCCTAACAAAAATTTGTTGAATGAATAATAAACACACTGCTGCTACCTGTACAGTAAGATTCCCTAAGAACCCAGAGCACAATACAGATCTGTATATTTTATTTTATATCAAATCTCTACATTCAAGAATGATAATCAGTGATAAGCATATATCTCTAAACAACATTTCATTTTACATTTCTAATGAGTATGGAACATCAAGGGATTTGTTGTTAATAATTCGTATCTTTATGAATGCATTTAGCTATTGCACAGACCTTCCATTACTTTAGCTACTTGTAAAATAATTCCAAATAAGCTTTATCAGATTTTCTAAGAAAGACTGCTCTGGAAGAGTCTCTTTGCTTGAAATAGGCCACAAATGAGGTTGACATGAAGAATGTTCTTGCAGAAGCAACTTGGAAAGACAAATAGTGCAAGTGAATTCATTATATCTCACCTCTTCCTCCTCTGCTCTTCTGATAATTCTGTTTTGCTTAATGTTTTGAATATTTAATACTATGCTAATTTTCTCCATTCAATGTCATTTCTGTTTTAGAGAAAATTTTATAGAAGTCATTTCGCCACCATTTAAAATAAATGGAGGTGGTATTTGGGACATTTGCATTGTTTGAGATTATTTTGAAACTCAAAAATTATTTTTCTTTCTCTATGGATTTTTTTTAATGTTTAAAGGCAGTGACAACTACTAATAATGTATTCATTTTTCTTTCTTTTTAAATTCCAATTTTAGGTAGGAAGAGAAAAATAAGATTTCACTGGGGCAGAGAGTTGTCAAAGCTGACGTATGTCATAATTACCTTGATAGCATTATTTGAACATTGATGCAGTCAAAAAACAGTATCTTCCAAGAATTCAAACACATGGGGACAGGATCATTTTTATATATTATAAAAAATTAACATTGGTCTGTGATTTAACTTTCTAATTTTTCTATTAGTCTAAGCCCCCAGCAAAAATAATCTCTTGCTCAAAATAACATTCTACTTAAATTCATACTCACTTAAGTATTTATTCAGGCACAATTTGGCCTGGGATGACTTTGGAAAAAAGAATTGATAGCATCTTAGAATGTCACAGCTGAGTGACAGTTAGAGCTCATCTCATCTACGTCCTAACTTTATTGGCAAGAAAATAAAGGCCCAGGAGGACAAAGCCATTTTCCCATGCTGCACATGTTAATATTAAAACAAAACGATGCCCTTTCCACTCTACCAAGCAGATTAGCATTCTGGTATATAGATTTTTTTTTCAATTCTATATGTTTAAAACAGACTCTCATCTTACCACAAATCTTGTACAAAATATGGACCTTCATATATAAATCAAAGTAACCCAATGTTCAGTCCTCACCATATCATAAATTTTATCTCATAAAGGTTGTGTGGGTGAACATGATAAATATAAATTATATAAAACTTTTTAGAACAAAGGTTTCGCTGGTGGAAGCAATTTTAAATGTTTCAGGTAACATTTACTATAAAAAGAAAGATTAACGTATTCCAGAATTTTGCATTTATTTTTTTCCTAAGGCTAATAGAGTATGAATCCTTGGTATGCATATTTGCATCAGTGATGATTTTGATGGGCTAGCTCTTTCTAAGGAAATAACTAATGTAGATCTTTTCCAAAGTTATGTCATGTTCAAAAAAATCTCCTAATTTTCACAGCAATGAGAAAATAGTGTGTTTAGCAATATGCTAATTGCTAATTGGGCTTCATAAGGAAATGAGGTGCATCTGTAGGTAGGAGGAAGGGAACAGTTATAATAGTTGCAGCTGGAGGTGAGTTAGGAGGAAATTTCATGGGAGATTTTACAGATACAAAGGACGGTTGTACTGTGGGGCGTGGCTTAGTTCGCTTCCTGCTTTTAAAAACTTCTGTTATCAGCACTTCATCCTACTCAGAGCATCTTACTTTCCCATCCCAATCTTCCACCCCATCCCAGGCCGTTTCAACTATAAGCCCTGGTGAAACATAACAATAGGTAAATACACTACTTGTAAATTCTTAACCTAGAAACTGAGAGTGCTTACTTAACATTTACTGTATTTCATGAAAGCTGGGCATTTGTTGTCAACAGAACATATGACAATAAAATATATTTTCTGTAAAGTGTAAAGTAATTTTTAACAAATTAATGTCCAAAAGCTGGAAAAAAATAATCCATTTCCAAGTTCTCTGTAGCTTCAAAATTTAGCAGAATTTCTAAATTGATGTTTGGTAAGTTTTATTTGGAAAATCAGTGTTTTATTTTTATTTGGAGAATTTATTTTCTGAATTTATCTTTGGATTCAGATTGTTTCCCACATAAATAATGCCAAACTATAGCTTTTTTGTCTAAACAGTCTTATTACCTTAACAATTTTGGGGGAGAAAGTACAGAGTGCATGTTATTAAAATTTCAAAAATATTTTATTTTTTCAAGACTTTTAGAACTGGCCAATGAAAAAATTCAAGCACCACTTACAAAAATTTTTCTAATATCCTAAAATATATTCACAGACCATAGATCTATCAGTATATTTTATTTTAGAAAAAAATGTAAGCCAAAACCCAGAATTTGCCAGTAAGTTATATTTAGCATGTTTTCCAAATACTAACTTGAGGCAGAAAATTTATTTTCAACCAGAAATATTATTTCATCTGTATAATTTTCCTTAAACACATCATCCTTTGAAAATATCTTTGCTTCTCCTATTTGAAAAAGGACATAGAGCAGAGTACCTTCTCTCTTGACAACAGCTGGGAAATTATGTATGCTTAATAAATAGTTATTAATTTGATTTGATTTGATTTAAACAACTTTTTTAAATTCAAAATAGTGTCATCTGGAGTAATCATAGATATGACTTTGGTATTAGATTGGTTTAAAGAACATTAAAACCAAAGACAGAGATCCAAGATAACTTCTGAAATGTGTCTCCCAATGGGAGTGGTCAGACGCCATCCATCGGGACCACTCTCACTACCACATGCCTCAGCTTCGTTATCCCAGGAAGTCTTAGGGAGTTGCTAAGAATAAGAGACACAAGCATGTTGGAAATGCTCTAAGGTTCTTTTTAATCCCTTCCCTCTAGCTCTTTATCTTTAAATGGAAATAGTTAAAGAAAAGATGTAGCAATGTTGTAAAGAACCAAGCAATGAATTGAAATTCAAAGCTCGAGGGTCTAAATCACAGCTCTTCTAAGAGTGGTTCTGGGATCATTGCAAAATTACTTGGCCCTTTTACAAGTTAGTTACTTCTACCTCCCTAATCTGTGAGATGGGACTAAACCTCCAAGGCCTTTTCCAGTTTCCAAACCCTATAATTCAAACTCCTCATAAAAAATAAATGGAACTCTGCAATGTTCAATTTCTAAAGTCAAGTTGTAAAGGGTAGAGACTTTTTCATTAACAAATGCCAGAAGCTATATGAAACTTTGTGGGTGCTCAATAAATATTAAACAATCAATTTTATCTTTCATCTGCAAAATGGGGTGAGTAATGCTGACTTGTCTCACAGAATTTCATGTGAGAAATAATAAATGAGAACAAAGCACTTTTCAGATAATGAATAAGCTGCTTTAAAAGTTCTGAGGTCCAGCTAGATGATGCAAGAATAAAGCGTCTTTTTTATTATTACATCTGTGAAATGCAGCAGTCTTTTCATCTGTTTTAGAAGAAACAGTCATTATCCTTGCTTATCACTCAGAAGTCAGCATGAGTAATTTCTGTGCAAATGGAATTTTTCATGTGATTTTAACATTTATCACTTTTAACAAAATGCAACTTTTATCTCTACCTGATATCAAAATGGAATCATCTCTTGATTTAAATAGTTTAATGAGGCATTCCATCAGCATTATACTACTCTGCCCAAAGAAAATGCTTTTTGAAATGACTGATAAGCTTGCACAAATGAGAAAATTGTATATTTAATAATCTTCCTACTCAAAAATAATACAATTGAGGAATTGTTATAAAGGAAAATGATGTGTTACATTCTAGTTTCCTGGAGACTTCCACAGTTTGTTCTTTTTTTATGTTTATGTTGAATAAATAACATATGCTATATTTTTTACAGTGTTTCAACAAAAGGCAGCCAGAAGACAATCTGATGGTGACAAGTTCCATTGTCCTAGGAAACAAGGTACTGACATAAACTTCAGTTTATTTAATAATCTCTAAGAGTTAAAGAGGTCTTATGAATACTGAATAAAGTCTCCAGGGATAGAAGTAAATAATTGTATACTTGGTAGATTTTACTCTTAACTTAATGTCTTACCCAAATATGTTGCCATAATAAGATTAATGCAAGAAAATGCATTAATGGCAAGAAATGGTCTTGTGAGAACATTTGTGGTGATGAGGGTGTTATCAGAGCTCTAGAAATGTCAAGTAAGAAATTCTCTAACATGCATCAGAGACCATGCTTTCACAGAGGGAAGCCTCCAGAACTTACTTGGTTCAAGGAGATGATTGATTACACCAAAAATGAGACTGGCATGGGTTTTCTATGCTCTACATTAAAATCAAGTCAAAGATTATACCCTTTTCTCATTATTTTACCTTCAGCACTTAAACCAACATTTTTTGAACAATTATTTGTCATGCAGAGAAGAGCTAAAAACTGTAGGTAGAGACATCTCACCCAAGACTATTTTCCTCTTGCTCTGCAAGGAGGCAGATGCCCTCAGTTTTCCCTGACACACTTGGTTCCTATTGAAAAGAGATTCTAGCAGATTACTTATTATAATTTTTTTCTGATAATAAGATTTTAGTTAAAGTTCAAAAATGAAAAATGTAAAAGGTGGCAGAAATAGAAGTAACCCTGGCTGGCTCTAATAAAAATCAGCATATACAGATGCTTTTAACCTCAACTCACTTTTGAAATAACTTCAGACCAAAATAATAATACCAGATAATTATTGAGAGAAATGTTAAAACAAAACTATGAAATTATTTCACGGCAGCCCCTAAACACTCCCATAGTCAGCCTCCTTTTGTGGCATTGCGAAGATGGCTAGATACTGACTGCGCCAACTTCTAATACTCACTGAGCTATTAAATAGAGATCCTCAATGGACCTGCTCCTAGGACACCATGGATCATCCTCTAAACAAAGCTGTGTCCCTAAAATGAGTGTTCTTTATCCCTGACTTCAAGTGGCATTTCCTACAGCAGCGAGGTTATACCTCAAACATTCTTCCAGTTGAGTACATGGTGCTCAAATGCAACACATGATGAAGCTGAACTTTCAGTCTCCCATGAATCACTTGAATATTCTGCTTATGGATTTACATACAAAAAATTCGATTGGACAATTTTCTATTTCTACTGATTTCGTATTTGGAGGAAAAGATGTATCTTTTTAAGTCTGCTATTTTGCTCCCACTGTGCCTTTAGCTCTCTTAAGAAATAAATGAAGAATTCCATATGAGGTCATTATATAATTAAGGTCAAATAATCACTGAAGAATTAAACTAAGTAGAGGAGACTTTGTTCCTCTCTGTGCTCCCCCACATACCTCACAGAGGTTTGGAAAGAGTAAGGGTGAAGGATGCTTTGAGTTCTTTGAAAGAATATTTATCTGAAGCAATTTTTTATAAATTCTTTAATTACCATGTTTTTAAGTAATTTCTGTTAGAACTAAGGGGAAAATGTGAAGAAGGCCACAGTGGGTAAAGGAAAGTGACAAGTAGCAAGTGTAATGAAGAGATCTTGGAATGCTTGATCTTATTGATTATTCTTCTGGTTATCCCACAGAAAGCAATATAAGGAAAGATTGCAAATGTCCATTAAGCCTAGACGAGCCCAATTATTATTCTACCATATATATATAGAAAAATAGTCTCTTCTGTACCCGGTAACGAAAGGGGAAGAGAAAATAATGAAAGGAAACAAGGACCTAATTATAAAATATTTTATTGGATTAAAATCTGTCCATATCTTGTTTTGCTTCATCAAGGTCAATGATTACTAGATTTTTAAAACTCTTTGAGGGCTAGGAAACTGAAAATTTTAAACAAATTTTGTATGATTTTTTTTTTCTCTCAACTTCTTGATAATGTTTTCAATTAGTCACCTTAGAGCAGTTTCCCTAGATACCTTACCCCTGGACGTCAGTAATTCCGCAGAACATAAAAACAAACAAAAACATTGTTCTATTTGCAAGGACTAGAGGAACATAAACCTCATGAAATGTTAAAAAAACAAAACAAAACAAAACAAAAAATCCTCTCTTATTACTGCAATCTGAGAAAAAGAAGATAATTAAGAATAATCGGGACGATTTTTAAATTAAAGAATTAAGTACCTCAAAGGGCTTACTCTGTACAACCATTTTTGCCTAAGCCTTTTAAGATTTGTATGACCATCCAGTCTATGTGACATACTAGGGAATCAAATCTGCTTATTTCTGAGTTGATGAATACTCTACATATTCTAGGATCTCATGGTGTAATAGGAAAAGCAGTACTTGTTTCACCAATGATAACTTTATTTGGTAAAGAACAAAAAAGGCCCTTTTATGAGATGTTGTCGGAGTCCAGATTTTCTAATGGGACTAGATAGTTTCTCTAAAAAAGGTTAAAGAAATTATTTAATTCTTTCACTATATGCTGGAAGAAAAAGTTTTACAAGAGCCAACCATTTTCCCACTGAAAGTACAAGTGTTTCAGATGCCCTTCATTCACAACTGCCAAGGGATTGCCAGGAAGTTACACTATTGCTAAATCAACGAATTTTCCTGAGGAACAGAAAAAAAAAGTAATTGGCACCATTTCCATCGAAACTCAACAGATTTCTTCAACTCAATTTTTGCTTCTTGAAAAAAATATAAGAAAAACGCTGAGGACTTTGGATCACAAATAAAAGTTTTCATCAAAATAGTTTTAAAATCAGTTTTCTCAAGTTGGTTTTAAAATTAGGAAATGGTATAATGGTGTCACAGAATATGCTGCTACCACACCTCTACTCCCTTCCCCCAACCTCACAGGACCATCAATAATAGTTTCTTCTTTAACTCGAGACCTGAATTTTTTCAATAGTTTTGGAGGTGATCAGTTTTAAAGTCTGAGTCATGCTAACCAAACTCACAGAGGACTGATTTATAACCCTTAATTTCAGTCTATTAAATCTATACATCCCAGGGACTAGATTCTTTCCCAGTGACTAGACCATTTGCATTCATCAGGCCTCTGCCAAATAATGAAGTTTTTATAAAATATAATTAGTAATTAGATGACTTGGAGGTGAACATTATCAAGCTGAAGGATGCTGGAGGAATATAAGGGCTGCTTCTTCAAGGACATGGAAATATCTGCTTAATTTTTCCTGCCTCGCAAAATCATATAATAGTCTAGGGTCAAGATTGCTCACATCTTCCAGACAGGTTAAATTCTTTTCTTAGTTATATCTTTTTCTTGGACGATGCCAAGGGGACTTTTCTATCCTCACCAGAATCATCCTCATTTTATTGATGTAGTCTTACCTCAGACATGATAACATGACAACTGATGAGGTTTAATAATCTTAACATCTAAACTGCCTCCCTGTGAATCATGAGTCATATCCACAAATCTCCTCGGCCACACAGTTCGATACTGAATTGCATCAAGGATGTGTTGTTGCTGCCAGTTTTAGAAGACAAATCATCTCTTTGAGAGGTGGAGTTAAGTGAGTTGCGGGAAGAGCACATTCACCCTGACCAACTGCCTATACCAGTGACTCCCAACCCTAGATGAGCATAAGCATTATTTGTAGACACAATAGAATATACAGATGTCAAGTGATAATGTACACCTGAAAATTATATAATTGTATTAACCAATGTTACCCCAATAAATCTAAAAAAAAAGAATTATTTGTAGAGCTTCTAAAATGTGGTTGCCTAAGTCCTACTTTAGACATAGTCTAAAAGTGGAACATATAATAACAGAAATAAGCAATAATCTCAAAACCAACATACAAAAAATATTTAACCAAAAGAAACTGTTTCAGAAGCATATTATGGCCAAATTTGGCCTCTACATATGTTATATTTCCAAAATAATCTGTGCAATATGATTTTAATTTTTGCCACGTTTAAATCGTCTTTAAATCCATGTTTCATGTAAAAATTCAAATCTCTAACCACTTTCTTTTATATAATTGTATCATTTGCTATAAATGACTTTTGCTGCTATCATTGGTTAACATGCTTTCCATGTTGTTTTCTTATATTTGAGACATATTTCTCTAAATTCATAATTCTATCAAAAGTGGAAAAATAAAGAATATATAAAGAGAATCGTGTTATCAATAAAATCATGAAAGAGAACATATTTATTTGTGATAATGAAAACTATTCAGATGTATTTAATAAGCAGGCACTAAAGCTTCTCTGCTCAGTAATTCTAACTGCCCAGCCCCTGTAGGCTTATGAGTTTACAATTCCTGATGTAGTCTCTGCCCACTAATGCTTCATCTCTGGCCGCACAGTTGTTATTGGCTTGTCTTCTTGGGGAGGGTGAGATGCGCATTCATGGGAAAGATATAGTCGAGGAACATACCTTGCATGTGTTCCCTAAGTGCCCACTGTTGCAACAGTCTGATAAATGTTAAATAATAAAACTTTCTGTAAGTAGGAGACCTGGCGAAATGTGGATGATATTACCCTTATGTGGGGAAAAGAGAACGCTGGTCTCTGAGGTATTTCGATCAGGCTACTTTTGCCAGTACCAGATACATTAAAAAGAAAAGAAGGAAAATTATCAAAATGTGATCATATATACCTCATAAAAGAATAATGGCCTCAGTTCTCTTTTTCAGTATATCTTATATTTCCATTTACCATATTGTTCACAAAAGCTTTTTTAACATCATACTTGGAAAAACTTTTTAATAACTCAGTTCTTGCCTAAAATGGTGATGTGTCAATAGCCCATATTGTGGCCTCTTAGCAATATTTGTAAAGGCAAGGTACCAAAAAAAAAAAAAAAAAAAAAAAAAAAAAAAAAAAAAAAAAAAAAAAAAAAAAAAAAAAAAAAAAAAAAAAAAAAAAAAAAAAGAAAGAAATTCTTAGTAACAGAGAAAACAAAGGCTGGAAAAAGTTAATGCTAGAATCTGTAACTAATCCAATTAATTCTAAGGTTGAAAAAAGGGATTGAA